TGATTTTATATTTTATATATGTATTAAATTGAATAATTCATTACGTCACACCGGAATTTATCATTATTATCAAGTTTTTATATATAAAAAAAAATCTATTCGACGTCAAAATTTTTCTCTTTTTTTTAAAAAAAAATTTCTTAATTAATGAATATTAATTTTTTTTTTTTTCATAAAAAAAAAACTTTTTGAAAAGGTAAACTAATTAAGGGATTTTTTTTAAAATACTTTTTTATTATAATTACAAATCGAAAAATAAAATAAAATTACATTTTCCCTTTTTTTTTTTTTTTTTTAACATTCGAAGAAAATTTGAAATTTAAAAACGGAAAATTTTTACCGCGTATTCACTTTCGCTCCAGTAAAATCTTTTTATAAATTTTAAAATATAACGTAAAACGATAAACGTTCAAATAAAATTCGTTTCCTGTTTTTTTTATGGATCCCCCTACTTGATCTCCCAAAAAAAATTTTGTTTTTGGAGATTCGTGCGTAAAACGACTACACGAAAGAACAAAGTTGACTGACTGCCCTCGGTAAAAAGTTTATATTTTTTAATAAATATTATTATTCGCAACGGTTTTAAATTTTAATAAAATACTGTAATGGGGGAGGGAAGAGAGGAGGGGAGGGGAGGGGAATCGGAAGGAAAACAAAAAAAAAATGAGTTCACAAAAAATTATTAAAATTTTGGAGAGGAAAAAAAAGAAAAAACAGAAATGACGATGTCACGCCATTTTTTTTTTTTTTTTGGCGGTTCCTCCTTCGATTCCTCGTTTTATTGTTCAGTAATAAAGAAGTGTTGGTAATTGATTTATTGTTCAGTTGACTTTTTTTTTTTTTTTCCGTACAATCTTTGGAAAATTGATGAGAATTTCAAGTAGTTGTCTTGTCAATTTAACAAATGTATCGAAAATTTAAACGCGTGGTTTTTTTTATCCTCTTTATATCCCCCTCCCTCCCCTCTCCCTCTCTCTCTCTTTTTAATATCGAAGATGGCAATTTTCCCATTTGAAAATATTTAATTTCAACGGATTTATTTTATTTTATTTTAGTTTATTTTTTTTTTGTTAAGTCAAACATGCGTGTTGCGTGAAGGATTACGACTTTTCCTTTTGAATTTTCTTTTTTTTTTCCGGTTATTTATTATATTATTATTATTATGTATATATTATTATTTTAATTTTTGGCAAGTAGGAAGAATAAACGCGAGTATAATTTACAAAAAAAAAAAAAAAATCAGGTTCTCGATAAAATATCATCGTTTATAATATAGGATAAAGGTAACAATAAAAAAACACGGACTTATTATTATTATTATTATTACTACCACGACCTGCTTTGCAATTAACTTAAAGTTATTTTTAATTTGTCTAAAAGTTTAAGGTTTACATAATATTATTATTATTATTAATAATAATGATCTGGCATCCTGTGTTAGGCGCGATAAGGAAGGCAATGAAAAATGTAACAATTGAAATTTGTTATAAAAAGAATCGAAAAATCGGGTCCCCCCTAAAAATTGTTGTTGTTGTTTTGTTTTTAAATGTTGAGGGGGCAAGGATGTTTTGCCCACGTTTTTGAAGTTTAAATTTTCCGCGGAATATTAAGGTATATTCAGGTATTAGGAAGAAATAAATAAATAAATAAATAAATGGGGAAAGAAGGACGTTCGAGACGTTGATGATGATGATACTTTTAAATTTTGGAAATGTTGCTGACCTTGATTTTTAGTTCAGAATGATGTTATTAATAATAATATGGTAAAAGAAATTTACAAAATCGTTTCTTTTCGGGGGGGGGGGGAAAGAGAGGGGCTTGAAATTACACTTTAAAAAATAAATTTTCTTTTTTTTTTTGAAAATTGACGAAAAGCCAGAAAAGTTTTTTTTTTTCGGTTGGTTGAAGGGTAAAAGCGAATGCGTAGGAGGAGGTTGGATGAATGGATGGAGAATCGAGATTGTCAGGGGGGGGGATTCGAGGGGAGGCTTTTAGAAAAGATGAATTTTTTCTTTTTTTCCTCCTGATAATCAATCTTTGTAAAATAGTCGTTTTTTTTGAAAAATGATTTTCTTTTTTTAAAAAAAAAAAAAAAATTTTCTAAATGTTATAAAAAAGTTTTCTTGTTTCCCCCCTCCCCCTCCCCACGAATATAAGAAATTTTTATTTTATTTTATTATATTTGAGTTTGAAACGTTTATCTTTGAATTGAAAAGTCACTAAAAAAAATAATAAAAATGAGAGGTAAAAAAAACTTTTAAATGAATAAATTTTTACAATAAAAGTAAAAACAAATAAATAAATAAATGTATGTTTTTTTTTTACGCGCGAATTGTGCAAAGTTCAAATAATTACGGACATAAATTTCGTCTGCTTGTTTATTTAAATAAATAAAAAATTTATAATTATCGTATCGTATAATAAGTAAGGATGGTTTCTACGTAATTTTCTTTTTAATATTTGTAATTATAAAGTTTTCACACAGATGGATTTTCTCTATAGAAAATAATAGGTTTGACGTCAGCCATTTTTCTTTTTTCCTTTTTCTATTACTTTGAAAAATTTAAAGTATTGATTTGTTTCATAAAATTTTATAAATTGAACTTTTGAATTTTTTTTTTTTTTTTTTGCAAAGATTTCCCTTTCCTTCTCCCTCCGCATCCTTCCCCCCACGAAACACGATTCTCGTTTATTTTCCTTCTTTTTTTTTTATTTATTTATTATCATTATTTTTATTTTATTCGCTTTATTGAATTGTCAAATTACGTAATATATTGCAAAAGTTTAAGTTTTTCTTTTTTTTTTTTTGACACAGAATGACGACGTCCTATTATTCATTAATAATAGCGTGGGGGAGGGGGAAATATTTATTGTAACTCGAAACAAACATAAAATTAGCAAAATAAAAAGTTACTCGATGTATTTTAAAGATGAAAGAATGATTAAAATTTTAATAAAGGGGTTAAGCACGTATGGGAAATTTTTTTTTTTAGGTTTTTTAGGTACGCTAGGGAATCGCAAAAAAAATTGATTAAGTACTGAGACGCATATAAAAAACAAAACGAAATAGTTACTGATAACACAGAATATTGTTTTTATTTGGGTTGCTTTTTGCGTTATCAATCACTTTTGGAAAGGAGGGGATGTTGGTTTGTTTGTTTGTTTATTGTGTCGGTGCGGGTTGTTTGTTTGCTTTTTATTGCCAAACGAGGTTTTATTAATTATTTAATTAATTGACTTTACACAAAATGTATTTACGCATCGATACCTCGTTTAAATCGATTTTAACAAATAATAATAATAAAAATATTAGTATTATTTAAGATTAAATTGGACGAAATTTTCGTTTGAAAATGAATTGCAATGTTGTAGCGGAAAATTAGGTACAGTAATATAATATTAATAATTTTCCACGTATACTATTTCACTTTCCCCCCTTTTTTTTTTTAATAATTAAATTACTTGTTAACTGATGCTGAAAGTTAGCAAAGGAAACTAAATTTTTTTTCTCATTCGTGATTGGTATTTAAGAAGAGGAGAATTGAGAAGAATCAAGAAGAAGAAGAAAAAAAAACAATTTCTTTTTAAAATAAACAATTTTTTAAGTTTATTAATTCCTTGTTTAGAATTTTCGTTGAAAAACTTGCAGGCCTTGACGTTTGGGTCCTTTTTTTCTATAACTTCAAAACGAATGCATAGACGTATGTGTTGTTTAAAAGTAGGAAATCGGTTGCGTGGAGCCCCACCTAATGTTGTGCTAATAATAAAAATTTACGGCCAGGTTTTGTATTAACTCCTAACTAAACTAACGGCCTTTATGACCCTTTTATATTTCCACTCCTTTTTGATACGGGATAATCATGTTAAAGCAGTGTGTGGTATTTTTTTACTTTTTCTCTCTCTCTCTCTCTTTTTTTTTATTTTAAATACGGAATGAGAATATGAAGAAAAAAAAAAGAGAGAATGTAAACCAAATTGATCCAAAGGGAGAGTGAAAGAATTTTTATTTTCAATATAACATTAAATTGAATGATGATTTCAAATCCTTTTTTTTTTTTGTTTTTGTTTCAAATTTTATTTTTGCACTGAAATTTATGTTGTTTTCGTGACGGTGCATCGTTAAAGTTTTATAAAATTCAGTTTTGAAAAAAAAAACAAAAACAACAACAATAATAATAACAATAATAAAAATATTAATAAAACAAATTAAAACTCTAACTAACTGACTGCATTTGATTGTGACAGTTCGATTTAAGTATTATTATCATCATTATTATTATTTTTTGTTTCAGTTAATAATACTTCTGGAATCGACGATGCGGAAAAAGGTAACATCGACGCAAATGATTGCGTAGTAAAATGCAATGGGGATAATAAGAAAAGGAAAAATGATTTGGAAGATGATAATAATAATAATAAAGATGGCGAAGAGGGTGAAAATGAAGGAGAAGATTTTGTTTTTCAAAAAAATAAATGTAATAATGTAAATGTGATAGATTTGAGCATGGATGATCACTCGAGAAAACGCGGAGATAAAATTGAAAGTAAAAAAATGGAAAATTTTCAAATTTCCCGAGTTTCCGATAACAATAAATATTTCAAGGGGAAAATTCCGGATAGCAGTTGTAAAAATTTAACGGTTAACTGTAGTAACATGGGGCAACATAATAGTATAGGTGAAACGGCTAAAATTTCACCCACTCGAACTCTTTCTCTAAGATCGAACAACGGAGGATGTAGTCGGACGACACCCGTGACATTTAAACATTTCGGATTGCAAGAATCGGATTTGCAAAAATCGCATAATGGAAGTGTTGTTGACCCTTCACCTCTGATGATAAAAAGGGAACCGGGAGATTTTCAAAAATATACGAGAAATTCTCCTCTATTGAGTTTTTCATCTCTTGACACGATATTCAATCCGAACGCTCTTCGCGTTCTCGACGGACAAATATTGAACACGGTGCCATACACGGAATCATCCTTTGAATTATCCGAAAAGAAAAAAAATTATTCGAGTTCTCCGAACTTGGAGGATGGATTTTTTTCAAATTCGAATCAAAATTTTCTCAGTCCCAGACCACCAGCATCAGACAATCCTTTTTTAAATTCCAAGTTCGACTATGAAAAATTTAACGATTATAAAAATTACACGGGTACCAACTATTCGAAAACGACGGACAATTATAAAAATGTCGAAAAGACAAAAACGAGTTGGGATTATTTTTCGAAAAATCATAACTGCGATCGAAACGAAGAAGATGATGAAAGATCGATATCGCAAGATAATAATAATTCTTTGGTGAATTCGACAACGTCGGAAATCGAAACGAAAACGTCAACAACAACAACCAAAAGCAATTCGATCAATGTGACTCCGTGTCAAGTAGCCGAAGTAACAAGTGCGTCATCATTATTGAGCCCGAAAATTCCATCCGTGAATCCGGTGGTTATTAAACAGGAAGGAGTAGTTTCCGTGCCGTTGGGTTCTGGAGCAACTGGAGTCAACGATCAGAAAAAAGATGGTGCATTCATGCCCTCGGGACAGTTTACTGGAGTCAGCAGCACAGGTAAAAATTATTTTCCTTTATATAAGAGAAACTGATTCGTGTCTGAACACCCAAGTCATAAGACAAAATCATCCTCGTCTTAAATTATTCATTTTAGATTTCTTTTTTTTTTTTAAACAAGGTTTTGAGAGAGAGAGACAGAGAGAAAAAAAATTATAAATTAATAATTGGACATTTTTAGTCACGTGGTTGAAAATTATGTAAAAGTACGGCAACTAAAGTTTTTTTTTTTTTGATACTACTTCCGGAAAAGTCATTAAAACACACAATTTTCCCAAGTTAATTTTTTTTTTTTAAATTGAATTTTTCTATATATTCAATAAAAATTATTTTCGTGCTCTTTTTTTTGAAGGGAGGGGGGGGGGAAATTATTATTAAAATCTTATGTTAGCCGATAATTACAATCGTTAATTATAAAATCGATTATCGATTATCATCGATTATTTTAATGAATTTTAATTTAGCAAGTTGTCAACGGATTTGCTAAAAAAAAAAAAAAAATTTTTTTATCGATATTACGAACGGAAACGATCGTTTTAATAATGTTTTCATCGATGTGTGCTTTTCCTTTTTTCCTTTTTCCTTTTTTCCTTTTTTTTTCCTTTTTTCCTTTTTCCTTCTTTTTTTCTTCTTTCAAAAATGACGAAAAGTTTTCCTTACTCCGGTTCGTAGTTTTCCTTCCATGTTCGTTTTCATGTTGACGAAATCAAATTTGTAAATAATTCAATTGTCGTTTTTTTTTTTTTTTTGTGTGTGTTTTAAAAAAGGAAAATGGTGTCAGGAAGTGGTAAATTCTTTTTGAAAGATTTTATGAAAAATTTTATGAGTTCTTAGAAAGAAAAACGAAAAAAAAAATTTATATTTATGCGAATACTTTGAAACGAGTTTGTTGACGTTTAAAAAAAAAAAGGTTACTTGAGGAAGGGAAAGAGGAAAAAGGAGAGCGGAAGTTACAAAATAAAATTTTTTCTGTGTTTTAAAAGCAACTGAATATAACACTAATTGAAAAGGCAAAACGTCACTAAATTATAATTTTTTTTTTTTTAAAACATTAATAATAAATAAGTAACTACCTGTTGTGGTTGACAAGTAAGGTATAACAATTCAATAAATTTTTTTTTCTCTCTCTAAAAGGTCCGAAAATAAGAAAGAAATTTTTAAAAAACCAAACATAAATTAAATTGTTGCTTTAAACCTTAGAAACCGAAAAAAAAATGTTTTGAAACTTTTTTCTTTCTTTTTTTGGATAATTTTTAAAAAAACATGATTTTATATAATTTATTATTACTTTATCGTTTTTTTCGGCTTTTTGATAAGAGAGAGAGAGAGAGAGAGAAAAAAATTATTATTTTAATTTGTTTTAATTTATTTTTTCGCGTAAATTATTTAAAAAAAAAAAAAAAATGGAGGATGAAGCAAAAAAACACGAGCAGTAAATTTTTTTTTTAAATTTTGATTTATGCTAGGAGGTTTGATTATGGCGAATGCATTTGTTTTGTGCCACGTCAATTTTTTTTTTTTTTTTTTGACTAATTGGGTTTTTTTTTCTTACCTCTTTTATTTCATACTTTACAGTCGGGGCTTCTGTGACGACAACAAGACAGAGAAACGAGTCGAGATTCGATGATGTTAAAATGAGTCAAAATAATAAAAATTCTCCGGTTCCCCCACAGCAGCCGACACCGACTCATCCAATTCCTCCGCCTCCAGGATTATTACATCGAACGACATTTCAATCGCAACCTTCGATAAATCTTTCTCCAGCTTTGGGTAAATGTATGCTATTGTTTTAATTTAAAAAAAAAAGAAAAAAGGTTTTGGAAAGATGTGTTGGATATTTTAAATATTTGTAACTTAAGAAATTGATGATGAATTTCAGGTGCGACTCTTTATCCCGGAGGATTGTCCTGCGATGATAGGTCGGGAGCATCTATTTGGCCGACTCAACCTCATCATAATCCCCCGGGTCTTTGGCAATATTCCGGTAAGTTTTTCACCTTTTTTTCTTTTGCACAAATTGTTGAAAGCGTTACTATTTACCCTCCCTCCCCCGATTGAAAAAGATCGGAAAATTGACCGCTGACGGGTTGCTCCCCATCCCCCTCCCCCCGTGGAATTATTGATAAAACGTAAATTAATTAATTTTATTTATACTCAGTCATTTTTTTTTCAAAAAATAATTCTTCTTTTGAAAATAAATCCGTTGTTTTGTTTTGTTTTTTATCTTTTAAATTGAAGCAAAATAAAAAGAGAGAGAAAGAGAGAGAGCAAAAATAATAATAATGAAATGAATAGAAAAGAAAGGGGAAAAAGGTTGAGAGAGAGAGAGAGTGAATGATGGTTGAATTACAACGGAAACGATTAATTTAATAAAAATTTTTTTTGTTTTTTTTTTGTTTTTCTCCGGGAGTAGGCTTTATGATTAATTAACAAACGATTGAATTTTCCGGCGACGACGACACCTGCGAAACCGATTCGGAGAAAATTTCACGCCATTATTTTGTTATTTTCCTTATATTAAAATTATTATTTTCTAGAAAAAAAAAAATTTATTTTTTGTCAAAAATTTCCGGGGGGCAGCATTCGTATCAGTCGCGTTAAGGTTTCTTCAGGTTTTTTTTTTCGGTTTAAAAAAAAAATTAATAAAGAATTTAAAAAAGAAAAAATTAAGAATTTAAATCGTACCTGAACCGTGTAAAATTTTTTATGGCGTTAATGTTTTGCGTAAATATTTTAATAACCTGGTAATTTTTTTTTTCTCTCTCTCTCTCTCTTAGAGCGAGTAAATCGTTAAACTGTTAAAGCGAGGGAAAAATAAATGAACATTTAGAAAAAAAAGAAAGGTTCATACATTTAATTAAATTATTATTATTATTTGTTGTTGTTGTTGAATGTTTTCAAAGGTTTGAATTAAAAAAAATTTGAATTCACGATGAAGCGCTCATGTTTTCATTTCATTTTAAAATCGAAAAAAATTGTTTTTCCTTTTTTTTTATTTGTTATTTTTCCCGTATGACGCCATGTTTTTATGTTAAGCGAATGACGTAAAAAAAAAAAAGTTTTTTACTCGTAATAATTACAAGTTATTTTATTTTTAATCATTTTTCTTCTTTTTAATTAAGAAATTAATTTAAAATAATCGTTTTGTGTGCATGATTTCGTGTTTTTTTTCTTTTTGCTTACTTTTCTTTTTTTTAAAAAGGGAGTAAAAAAAAATGGAGAAAAAAGGAGAGAGAGAGAGAGAGAAAAAAATGTCGTTTTTGCTTAATTTAACGTTCTTTTTTTTCTTCGTGTTCCTTGCCTCTCTCTCTCTCTCTCTCCCTCTATCTCAAACACATTATTTTCGGCGGATTTTTGCAATTTAACGACACATTTCCCTGTCGCAAACTCGACGACGTTTCAGGTTTTAAATGTTGGTCATCCATCTTGAACTTGAACGAAAATAAAAAAAAAAGACAAGAAAGTAAAAGATTATTTATGTTCTTGAAATTTGAGTACGGAATTTTTTTTTTTAATTTTAATTTTAATTTTAATGCGGAAAAAAATGGGGAGACGGGTGAGGAGGCGGGGAGGGGATGGAAGTTGTCGGCGAGGAAAATTAAAAAAATAATTTGAAGATTTTCTGTGTCGGTTTTTTTTTGGTTTGATTTGAATTATCAGATAACCATTTTCTTATAGCACTTAATTTTCTGTTTTTTTTTTTTTTTAATGTACGTTTCCATATTATTATTATTATTATTATTATTATTATTATTATTATTATTATTGCTAACGATTATTTGCGGTGTAGGATCATTAAAGCATGAATGCCTCCCCCTATCTCCCTTCCTTCCTCCCTCCCTCTCTCTTATTTCAAATGAAAAAAATAAAATTTTATTTAATTAATTATTTCTTGTGTCGGAAAATCGGAAAATTTTTTATTCGAATGTTGTCGAATAAAAAAATTCAAATGGTAAAAATATTTCCAGAGAAAAGGAGTTAATTAGTTATGGAGTTATGCTCCCGTTCGATTTTTTATTTATTTATTAATAATATTAATAATTTTTTATTTAATTTATGAGAGGTTTTCGGTTTTGTATTTTTTTAAGGTTGATAATTTATTATTATTATTTTTTTTTTTTTAAACAAAAATATCTTATTTAGGTCAAAAGTTTTTTATTTTATTTATCCATTGAAAATATTATAAATAAATAAATAAATTCGAGCGGAAATTTTATTTTAACGTTTTCCCTCCCTCTCTCTCTCTCTCTCTCCCTCCCCCCACTTCGTATCCTCTCGTTTTTTTTTTTAAATTTCAACCCCGTAAAAAATTATTATTATTATTTTTTTTCTCCTTGTTCAAATTTTTATTTCATTCACATTAATTTGGAATGATAAATTATCGAATTATTCGTCGTTTCGTTATTGAAAAAATAAAAAAAAAAAAGGAAATTAAAATAATAATAATAATAATAATAATAATAATAATAATGGAAAAGGTATGCGGGTTTGTTTCCATTGTGATTAGTTTAGACGTAACAGCTTTTGCAGCTGGTTTTGAAGTAAAGGAATTAATTCATAGGTAAAGAGTGGAGTGGAGTGGAGTGGTTAAAGAAGTAATTAATTTTTTCCCCAAGGGGTAAAAATGTAGGGAGGGAAGAGTGAGAGGGAAAGAGAGAGAGAGAATGAGTTATGAATCGCAAACGACGTCACAATGACGTCACTTTATTCTTTCTTACTAAAAATTTATGTAAAAAAAAAATGGACGACGACAATGGATCACGCGTTTTTTTTTAATTTCGATATGATGTTTGAAAATTATTTTTATATCGTTCGATAATTATCGATTCGAGATATTGTAAAAATCTATTTCGAAAGTTTTTTTCTAAAAAAAAAAATATTTATTCGATAAAAAACAAAAAGAAAATTTTTTTTTCCCCATTGTATTTTACAGATTAGTTTTCTTTTTTATTAAATCTTTCTTTGTTTGTTTTTTTTTTTAACGTTATCATCATCATTATCATTTTTACATTCTTTCGTATGGAATCGTAATTTTATTATTATTATTTATTTATTTATTTAAATAACAATGTGAGATTTTTTTTTTAAATTCGATAATTGAAAATCGATATATATATAATAAATCGAAATCATTTACACGCACGAGATAAATTCGATTAATTTTATAATTTTTTTAAAAATTAAAATTAAAATTAAATCCGTCAGTTGTTCGAAGTTGGAAAAGTAAGAATTCGTTATTAAAAAAAAAAAAAAAAAAAAAAAAAAAACAGGAAAAACTTTTATTAAGAACGAAATTGAAATTTTCTTTTTCTTTTCTTTTTTATAATTTTTTTTTCCCTCCCACTCACTTGTTTTCTCTGTCACCTTAAAAAAAAAATATCGAGTTTAAAAATGTTTTCACAAAAATAAAGAAAAAAAAATTTGAAATTTTCCGCCAAAATCTCTCGTTGATTTTTCTTCCGTTTCCGGTTGAAATTTAATCGTTAAATGGTTCGATGGGATATACATTTGCAACAGATAAACGATAACCGATAGAAAATTAATCGCCATTTTTTTTTTCTTCGTGTCGGCCAATATTATTATTATTATTATTATTATGTTGCATCGTTTTCAATGAGGTTACATTATTGAAATTTACAAGTTATGAGAGGCGTGCGAGAAAGGAAAAATATAAAAATAAATTGAAAATCGAAAAAAGAAAGGGACGGTTAAGAAGGAACACAAAGGAAACGAATTCAATGAAGTTGAAAATCCGTGAATGACAAAAAAAAAGAGAGAGAGAGAGAAACCGACAGCAGCAAACAAACAAACAAACAAACGAAAAATGCGTTTAATGATTTCCTTAAGAAGTCAAAACGTGACGTTTTAATTCAATAATAATAGTAATAATAATAATAACGGCTGTTGTTATAAATAAATGTTTTTGATTTTTCGTTTTTTTCTTTTTAAATGACCCGTCATCACCCCCCCCCCTTTCCCGAATGTTTATCACGGATGAAGACGTGAAATAAAAAAAACTTTGATGATTTTTTTTTTTATTTTCCCCCTTCCCCCCTTATTTACGTTACGTTTTTGTTTGAGTTAATTGCTGTTGTCGAATGTTATGAGTTCCTGTCGGTTTTTTTCACACATTTCCATTTTTTTATTATCATTATTAACGTTATTATTGATTGCGCGAAAAAATAAAATTAAAAAAATGTCGTGTCAGAGGATAATGAACACACACACACACGCACACAAGAAAAATAAAAATGACCGTTATAAAAAATGTTGTGCTTTGTATAAAAAAAAGAAAAAAAAAATGAAGAACGTTAAATTTGTTTAATTTGTTGGTTGTTTTTAAAAATCGACAAACAAACAAACAAACGCAATTTATTTTATTATTTTTTTATGCAATTACAAATAAATTATTTTGTTTTTTTTTTATTTATTGATTTATTTTATTTTATTTTTTATGTAGGATTTTGTTTTGCAATATTTTATTTTATTTTGTTATTGAATAATAATAAATGAAATTTTATATTCAGATGTTATCAAAGAATGAAAAATTACCATCGTTTTATTATTATTATTATTAATTTCAAACGTTTGCATCGGATGAAATTTTTTTTTTTTTAAATTTTATCCAGATTTTTTTTTTTTTTTGTAAATCTTGTAATTAATTACGGTTTTGGATAAAATTCATCAAGAGGGGGAGGGATCTCACGTTTGTAAAATGTATCATCCCATACATCTCTGGACCAAGTTTTCCGACCGGTTTTTGTCAAAATCCGATCGTATCATTTTTCGCCAGGTTTTTTTTTTAATATGGCGGCGCAGATTTCCACGATGCGAATATTCGTTATTTTTATTTTTATGCCGCTCCGGGTATTCTTTTTTCTCGTTTTAAAAAGTGAGGATCCTGATACAAGGTGAACCGGTTTTTTTTTTCTCCAGCGTATTAGTCAAAAAAAAATTTAAAAAAAATTCTATTCTCGTATTTCAAATTAACATCGCGTTGTTTGCGTTTGTTGTTGTTTGTCTTTAGGGGGGGAGGACTTTGTTCGTGTTTACGACGAATTTGAACTTTTGAAGAATTCTTTTTAGCAGAAGAAAAAATTAAAATCATTTATTATTAGAAAAATTAATAAAAATGTAGTTTAAAGGAAAAAAATTAAATAATATTTTGATCTAGTTTTCCTTTTGTTTTTCCATTTCAAAGAGTTTTATTATAAGTTTTTCCATCTTCTTCTTTTTTGTAATAACGACAGCGACAATTAATCTCTCTCTCTCTCTCTCTCTCTCTCTCACACGCACGCACATAAACCCATTAATTAATTTTTATTTTTTTTAATATAATATTTTATATTTTCAGGTCCGATTGATTATCCGCCATTTCCACCGGTTGGATTCCAATTGGTTCGCGATCCGATAACAGGTCATTTTCTTTTAACTCCGGCATCTAATTTAGGTGTGTAAATAAAATTTTCACATGGATATAGTGGTCATTTTTACTTTTTATTATTATTATTAATACTCAAAACACATTTATTTATTTGAGATAATTAATAAATGAATTGTTTGTCTCGGATAAAACAATTTAAATTTTTTTAAAACTTTAACTTAAATGAAAAATTTCATTAAAAAAAAAAAAAAAAAACCACTATAAAAAGTGCAATTTTATTTAAATACAAAATTTATATCGTTATTAAGTTTAAAAATTTTTATTTTATTAAGCTTAAGTTTGGTTGAGATTATTAGTGATTGATTGATTGATTGATTGATTACAGAAGCTTTACAAAGAGCTGTACTATGGCCGAGTTTTCAACCGACTCCACCTCAAATGATTATACCTCCGATATCTATTACACCGACAGGAGCACCTCATTTACTCTTAGATACAAATGTGCCCAGTGTGGATTTTATGCCTCCCCCCGAGACATTGTCTCGAACTCCTCCTCAACATAGAATTCTCATTACAGCCGAAAATGCGGCCAAAAGAAAAATAATAGGTTCGCCATTGATAAAAGTTGAAACAACCGGTGATAATTCGAATTCGGGTCCCGGTACGTTATCCATCATGTACACATTTAAAAATCGTGATTAATGTATTTTCTTTAATAAAAAAAAAAATCATATTTCATAATAATTATTTTGGTTAAATTAATTAATTAATTTTCTTTTCAGTGAGTTCCTGTGACAGCATTTCTTCTGCTGCTTGTACGAAATCAATCGATCATTCAACGCAGGAAAATTTAATTGATTACGCTACTTGTGCCGTTTCCGGATTTACTGAACCCGTAAATTTTTCTTTTTTGGTTGTTAATTAAAAAAAATTAATGTTTTTGATTTTTTAACATAAAAAAAAATTGAAATCTTTCAGAAAGTTGTTGTTTCTCCAGTGCCAAGTTCAATTTCAAAACGTGGAAATGTTTCAAACGATTTTAAACCTGTAGAATCACCGTCGATCGTTTCGAGTCAAAATTCTACGTCACAAACAAAATTGTTATCGGACGCATCGTGTGGTACAAATGATAAAAATGACAATCACGACGCTTTTGAATCGAAAACAAAAAATGATAACATAAACAAAGGATCTCATACTACATCGAACGGACTTTGTGATGATGTCGAAAAATTGCCGAAGGTAAATGGCGAAGAAGACGAATCGAAAGTCGTACGTTTCGGTAAAACCCACGAAGACAATAAAAAATCAGTTTTAAAAGAAATTGAAAAACGGAAAAAGTTTGACGAAAGTTTAAACGTTCAAATATCTCACGTGCCTGATGTAAATATAAAAAAAGAAATTGTTTCTCCATCTCCGCAAGTGGACATTAGCGGATTGGAATTGTTGTCGAATAGTATCGAACAGTTGATGTGCAAAAGAGATAGTAAAAAAATCGATGATGATGCGATAGTTGTCAAAAGTAGTGACGTCATGTACGACGAAGAAAGAAAAGAATTATCCAACGATGCTTGCGAGGGTGCCGTTTTATTACAAAATTTAAAAAATGGATTTTGGGACTCTGAAAATAATGACGATCGTGATAAAAATGATAATGACGACGATGACGACGATGAAAACAATACCGGTAATCGTGATGGTGATGATGTTATCGTAAATGATAACGATGAATACCAGTCGGAAAATTCAAAGAGCTTAGGAGGTTTGGGTTTATTATGTGCGTTAGCCGAGCAAAGATTTCAAGAAGAAATAGTGAAGGAAAATCATCAAAAGATCAAAGAAGAAGAAGAAGAAGTAGAGCCATTGTGCCGAGAAGAAAAAGAAAATAAAAAAGTTAATTTGAATATTGAACAAGAGAATTTTGAAAAAGTTCAATCATCGGAAAATGTTAAAATGGAAAAAGGAAATGAAATTGATGAGACATTTAAAAATGAATCCGCGGATTGTGATTTTAACAGAAATTATCCAAATTTAAATAGTATTAGTAATACTATTAACACATTTAAGGATTTTGGAAAGGATAATAAAAATGTCGCAATTGACGACGTTGATGTGAATAATTATAAATTAAATAAAAAATCGGAAGACGCCGAAAGAAAAACAACCGAAAAGGAAAGGAAAAAAGTAGAAAAAGCCGATTGTAAAATTTCAGAGGAGCAAGAAAATTTAATTGTCAAAAGAGGTCCCGGAAGGCCGAAAAAGATAAAAACAAAAATGACCGCACACAAAATATGTGATAATTTGAGAGACGTTAGAAAATCTAAAGAAATGTCTCCTCCGATTTTAGAAAAACAAACCGATTATCCTTATTCAAAAGAAGATGATGACAATTCCACAGATAAAAATTATTTAAAATTGAAATCTCCAGGCGACATATTAAAACCGCCAACATTGACTCCAAGTGCGATAATACTGGATCCGATACATAAGGGAAAGGAAGAAAACTCGTCAATGGAAGAATCGTCTTTCCGAGGTAAGGTGAGTCATGAGACGGTAACAAAAAAAACAATAAAATCCGAGATCGATTGGAGGGAAAGCGAATCGAGAAAAAGGAAATTATTAGGTAACGGAAATTTTCACGAATCATCATCGTCTAAAAAAAGAAAAGTCGGTCGTCCTAAAAAACATTTTTGTACTTCCGGAAGTGAAAATCCATTGACGGAAACCATCGTGGCTAAAAAACCTAAAACAAAATCAAATTATTTGTTTCATTCCGTTTACGCGGTTGAAAATTCAAACGGTTTATGTGGGAAAACTACAGAGATGGAGCCTAAAAAGAAAATATGGGATGACGATGAAAATGACAAAATAAATTCGTTGGAAAAACTTCGATTAGGAACAATAAAACCTCACAATTCGTCTGTCCCTGACGACGTTGACGTCAAAAATTCTAAAAAGATTCGGCCCAAATTAAAAGCAGAACCGAAAATCAAAGAATGGACTTCCGACAATGTTGTAGAAGACATTAATGCTAATGATAAAAAGAAAAATTACTGCGACGATGAAAAAATGAAAAGTCATAAAAAAACTTTGGAGAAAATTCAAAATGGAAACGTGAAAAAAGAATCGAAATTGCCGAGTTGCGTTATAACGACAAATCATTTAAACAGCGACAAATTTCCCATGAGAACGTTGACGGTCATGGGAGGATTATTTTATGCTGGTCAATTGAGTGCCATAAGAGCTCCCGATGTGTATGGTATCACAATCGATGGAGAAAGAGGTAACAGACCTCACATTTATTCCAGAGAAGAAATACTCAAAGATTCGGTGAGCATCCAATGGAAATTTCGAAATGGATTTTGGCGCGTTAAAAACGATTAATCGAATTATTTATTTTTTTTTTTAGATAATGGAAGTGAAACCGGATACGGCAGAACATTTGATTCCTGGTACCAGATGCTGTGCATACTGGTCAGAGCAATACAGGTGTTTGTATCCGGGAACCGTGTCGGCATCGGCATCACCAAATTCAGACATTGATAATAAATTTGTAAACGTTGAATTCGACGATGGAGACAGCGGGAAAATTAATATCGATGATATCAGGTTGCTTCCAGAAAATTATCCCATAGTTGGTGAGTGTATGAGATGGCTTAAACATATTTCAAAAAGGTTGAAAGGTTATAACAATCGAGAATAATGTTTTATATTTTAGAATACGATCCAAATCCTCTGCAAAGTTTAACGAAACGAAGACGAAGGATTAGCAGCGCGAGCATCGAAAGTCATTCCAAAGAAAGAAAATCAGGAGATTCGTCGTCAAATTTTGAAAAACAGGAAAACGGAGACGAGGAGGATCAAAGAAGTGAAGTCATGGAGTCTAACTCCGTCGGTGACGACAAGTTACAAAAAACTATTCACTTATGTGAAACGGTAAAATTTTTAAATTTGGAATCCGAAAGAAAACATTTAAAGAAAAGAAGAAGAGAAAAATTAAAAAGACTACAATCGTTGTCCATCGACGGTAAGAAAAAACACAAGAAACATAGATGTTCGGACGAGCACAGACATCACAAACATCATAAAAAGCATCGGAAGCACAAACACAAACATGGGAAAAAACACGTTATGGATTTGAATGGAGAAAAAAGTTCTGCGAGAGAACCCGAGGTAGAAGAAAACGGCGTAAAAGAAAAAACGGAAGGACAAAGTTTGAAAAAGAAAATGAAGAGCAAGAAAAAATTAATGGAGGGTTCTTCGAGTAAGAGTCCGAGTAAAAGTGGAAAACCTAAAAAATGCAATAAAAGAACGGATTCGGTTGAAAGTCGTTCGAAAATGGCAGCATTCCTACCGGCAAGACAATTATGGGGTTGGTCTGGAAAAGGTTACAAACGTCCTGGAGCAAAGGGAAGAGCGAGGAAAGAATTTTACAAAACGATTCAAAGAGGAAAAGAACGTATAACGGTTCGTATCATTTTTAATTTCGTTTCAGGAAAAAAAAATCAAAAAAATCAGAAAATTTTACATTTTTTTTTTTTTAATGGCAGGTGGGTGATTGCGCGGTATTTTTATCAACCGGCCGACCAGACAGGCCATACATTGGAAGAATCGAATCCATGTGGGAATCTTGGGGAACGAATATGATCGTTAGAGTCAAATGGTTTTACCATCCTGAAGAAACCGTCGGATGTCCTGCAACACTCGAATATCCGGTAAGTTTTTTTTTTTTTCCTTTGTTTGCTTCCATATCAAACAAAAAAAAAAAATCTGACGCGCGAACGTTGGCAGCCGTGACTAAACCGACGAGAGGTTTTTTTTTTTTTTTTTTTTAAATTAATTTAATTTTATTAATTAAGGGAGCATTATTCGAATCGCCGCACGTTGATGAAAACGACGTACAAACGATTTCGCACAAATGTGAAGTTTTACCATTGAAAGAATACACGGCGAAAATAGGAAATTCTCCTCACAGGTACGAAACCATTTACGATAATAACGATATTTATTATCTCGCCGGTTATTACGATCCGACAAACACAACTTTAAAAATGGAACCCGGAGTGAAATGAATAAAAATAAATAAATAATAATGATGATAATAATAAAAAGTGTGTTTTTGCGTTGATGATGGTGTGTGCAAAGATGGTCTTTTTTTTTTCGGCCATGTTTGAAACGGTGTCTCTCTTTGCAATTTAAGAAATTGTTGTTTAGTCGTTGTACTCATAGTTGTCATCATCATCATCATCATCATCATCGTCTTGGTTAGGGGTATTATTAGTCGTTAAGGTTTGGGATTAAACATGCTGTGAAATCAATCGTCGATGCCATAAGTTTTTAAGTAAGAAAAACATGTTTCGACGACCATTTTAACGTCGCGAACGAATGTACATATATTAGATAGGGAGTTAAAAAGAGATCTGTTTATGGAGAGAAAGATAGAGAGAGAGAGAGAGGAAATAAAGCAAAAAAATATTTTTCTACGCAAAAATTTTCTTTATTATGTACATATAAAAATGTTTTTAGATATTAAAAAGAAAAAGAAATTTTATATGTAAAAAAGAAAATTATATTTTTAGTTAAAATGAAAAGGAAAAGAAGTTTATTATATAATAATAATAATAATAATAATAATAATAATAATAATAATAATAATAATAATTAATAATAATAATAATAATAATAATAATAATAATAATAATAATAATGAATGATTTTTAGTAAGATGTGATATATTAAAAAAAAAAAAAAACCGATTAGATTATATATTTATATATGTATTTTTTTTTTTTTTGGCTAAATGTTATTATATAAATATAAATATATATAAATACGGTTGTTGTTGTTGTTTTTGTTGTAATTATTGTATAAAAATTTAAATTTTGAGTGATTATTTCGGTCTCGATAATAATAATAATAATTTTTTTCGTTTAGTAACAAACAAACGTTACGCAAGAGAATGAAATCGTTTGTCGTTTGAATGTTTTTGATGACGGTTTAAGGGTCGATATGTGAAGTTCGTTTGTGTTTTGTTGTTGTTGTTTGTTTAAAAAACGAATTCATATCTTAATAAAGGATAAATTGAGTAATTATTATTATTATTATTATTATTATTTTTTGGTATTGGTGGCAGTAATTTTTGTAAGTTTTTAATCACACACACACACACACATCAAATGATCTTATATAATTGCTTTAATTGTATATTAATTTTTTTTTTTTTTAAATTGTAAATAAATGAGGAAGAAAGAATGAAAGTGAGAGAGAGAGAGAGAGAGTGAGAAAGAGAGGAAGAGAGAGAGAGAGACAGAGAGGGTGAAAGAACAAAAGTAAACCTTTATTTTTTATTGGTTTTTGGTTTCGTTTGTGAGTTTGTTTGAAAAAATAAAAAAAGGGTTGAATGAATGAATGAATGATAGAATGAATGAATGAATAAAAAAAAAAAATTTAAATTGATAGGGGATGACGTTTTAAAAGGGGTGGTGATTAATTACTTTTAAAACGAAGAGAAATTTTTTTTTTTGCGAAAGATTTGGCCGTGGGAAAATTTTTATTTCGATGAATTTATTATTATTATCATTATTAATTTTATTTTTTTAAATTATGTAAATAATGGAAATAGAGGGACAGATGTAGGAGAAGTAGGAGGAGGTGGAAAAAAATAAAAAATGTTTGTATGTTTGCCTTTAAACAATGTGAAATGGATTTCTTGTGCCTTGGAAAATTTTTTTTTCTTTTTTTTTTTTTTCATTCATTCATTCATTCATTCATGGTTTTAAATTATTTTAAATGTTTTTTTTTTTGTACCTGGAAAATAAGAGGGATAAAAAAATGATTTTTTTTTTTTGTAAACGTTTTGTAAATTAAACAAAAGAGAGAGAATTTAAATGTAATGAGGGGAAAGAGAGAAAAAAGAAAAAGAGGAGGAGGAGGAATAATAATAATAATAATAATAATAATAGCTATTTGAAATATTAATCTAATGTAAAGTTGATTTTAATTTTTTTTTTTTTTACTACTCTCTGAAATTTTTAAAAATTCTTTTGTAAATATAAACAAAAAAAAAAAAAATTTATAATGGCGGCCATATAATTTAAAAGAAAAATTATTTATTCGTGAGAATGAAGTTTAAAAAAAATTATTATTATTATTATTATTAATTATTTATGAATGTCAAATTTAATCAATACGCATTATTGTCATTATAAAAAAAAAAAATGTTAAATTTAATAATAATAATAATTTTTAAAATGATAAAAATTCAGGTCCGCAAGCCTTAAAAATCTTGTTTTTTTTTTTTAAATATATAAACAAACAAATTTTGTTTCGACCAAGAAAACAAACAAACAAACAAAAATTATTTAACGATCTTTTTTAAAATTTTGATTTGATTACGTGTATTATAAACAATAACACACCTGAAAAGTTCAAAAAAAATTTTTTGGCTTTAAATTTTGACAAATCTTTAATAAATAAATAATGTACAAAATAATTTGCCTCCATTTTTGCACTTTTCATAATAATTTTCCTGTTTTTCTGTTTTTCTGTTTTTATTCGGTGCCATTATTTATATTATAACGTAGTGATCATTATTATTATTATCATATGATAATTAACAACATATTTTATTTATTAATGTACTTAAAAATTTATGCTCTCTTCCCCGACCAATAAAAAACAAAACAAAACACAAATTATAAAACGTAATTCGAAAATTTTTGTGAAAATAAAATCAATTTAAGGTACAAAAATTTAATATTAACAAAAAAAATGAAGAAAATTTATTTTTCAATTATCATTATTATTATTATAATTATTATTTTAATAATGTTTAAATAATTAAAAAATAAATAAATAAACAATTTGTACTTTTGTATACCATGACATGTGTTAGTTTTTAGATTAGTTTTTTTTTAGTTTAAATGACACTTTATTACGCTTATCATATTATATATATATATTATATTATATTATATATACTGTATTATATATATATAATATTATATTTATAGTATAAAAAAAACAATATGAATGTAATTTTTTTTTTTTTTTTGGTAAAAAGAAATGATAAATTTCCTTTTATTATTATTATCATTATCATTATTATTACTATTATTATTAGTTTATTTATTTAATATGTATTGAAAACTTTCGGTAGAGCAATAATAATAATAATAATAATTATCGTAAATGTATATGTATGAATTAATAAATAAAAAAGAAAAAAAAAGTTTAAATAAATAAATAAATACGTCGAATTATTTTTATAATTTAATGCAATATTATTATTATTATTATTATTATTACTACTACTACGACTACGACTTTTATTATTATTATTATTATTATTATTATTATTATTATTATTATTATTATTATTATTTCGAATGAATTAAAAATGAAAATTTTTGAATGGATTTTTTTTATTATTATTTTGTACTGTTTAAAAGAAAAGAAAAAAATTTTTAATTTTAATTTTCTTTTTTTTTGTTTACTTTAAAAATAGTAATAATAATAATAATAATGATATTGATGATAATAATAATAGTAATAATGATAATAAAGTGGAAATTGGAAATTTAAAAAAAAAACAAAAATTCTCAAGAATATATTTTTTTTTTTGTTTTTTATCAATGTAAATAAAATTATGTAATGTATATAAGAATTTTTTTTCTTTTTAATTATTATTATTATTATCATTAATTTTTTTTTTTTTGTAAATTTTTTTTGTACATTATAATAATAATCATGTTAATTTAATATTATTATTATTACTACGATGGGTGCTTCAAATATTTTTTTTTTTTGATAGTTTGAAAATCTATGGAAAGAAAAAAGAAAATTAAAAAGTTATATTATTATTATTAATATTAATGAAATAAATGGAAAAGTAATAAATAAATAAATAAATATATAAAAAGAAATTATTTTTTGAAATAAAATTATATTTAATATAAAAAAATGAAAAATAATAATTTTGTTGTAAATTAAAATAAATAAATAAATAATTATTGAATAAAAATTGATGGAGTTTTTATTTAAAGGGTGCATGAGTGCGCGTGAGGTTGGTATCAATTCGGCATTTTAAATACCTCCCCATATTAAAAGTGATTGAATATTCAACGTTCTTTCACTTGTATAATATTTGGGAGACATTTTAAAGGTAGAAACCGACGGTGATCCCTCGGTACTGCCTTTTGTTTGATAAAAGGAAGGAAAAAGTTCGTTAAATGGTCGTAACTAAGTACTTCC